ACGCGGCGGCCGCGGGAGGTGCCCCGCTGCCTGTTCCGCCCCGCCGTTGCCTGCACTGCGCGCGGGCCCGATGCCCAGGGTGCGGGCCGGAGGAAGAGGGTGGGGACCCGGCCCGGCCCCGCGTGGCTGATGCAACGGGCAATCGCTGCCCTCTCCCGAGGGTGTCCTGGCCCCGGGCCGCCCCTGATTGGCCCGGCCGTGGAGAAGGTGGGTCCCCGGGCCCGGGTGCTGCGCGGAACCGGCTTGATTTCTCAGAAACCCGTGCAGCACGTGGCTGCAGGGGAGGTGGGTCAGGAGGCTGGAATGTTGATGGGAATCTGGGTGGTTTCTAAGAAGCGCAAGTGCACGGAGCCCGCAGGGGTGGAGTGAGCCGGGGAAGCAGAAGCCTGCCCTGAAAAGGAAACCGAAAGGAAGAGGGGAGAGTATTAAAGCCCGCTGCCGGCCGGCCGGGGGCTTCTGAGCTGCCCGACTGCCCGGAGGGAGCGGAGTGTCCGGCGCCAGCCTGCACCCCAGCCGCGCGCGTCTCCCACCGCCTGGGTACGTACCGCCCCTCTGCCCGGCTTCCAGCTTGTTCTTAGCTTGAGCCTTTCTCCAAAGTGCTGGAACCTCGGCTTGGAGGATGAGGGGTTGTCTCCCGCAGGGTGAGGATATTGTGCATAGTACTTCACCCCCAATTTCGGCTGGTTCCTGCTTCTGTGTGGGAATAGAGAGAGTGTATTTTTCACTCCAGCCTCCCGGAATGGTCGGTATCTGAACTTGCGTGGTCCTTGTGATACCCACTAGCTTGTGTTGGCCCTCATAAAAAATTTCTCCTCTGCCTTTAAGATAATGTTCATTTCATCCATTGGAGGGGAGGAGACGATAACCTTTCGTTTTAGCGTTAAAAGGAAAGTAGAACATACCTGTTCGAAAATCTGGGGAATAAAGAACTGGCTGCAGCCGGTCAAGGTGGTGCACACCCGTAATCCCAGCACTTGGGAGGCTGAGACAGGAGGGTTGCTGAGAGTTCGAGGCCAGCATGGGCTATGGAATGAGTTCAAAGCCAGCCTGAACTACACAGCAAGACCCTGTCTCAAAAAGCCAAAAAAAAAAAAAAAAAAAAAAACTGGCTGCTCTGCAGAGGGCATTTTCTTGTCCTCTGGGAGCGTGCCTGCCCACACCCGTCAGCAGCCGCGCTCTGAGGCCCCAGCCGAACCTCCTGGCACCCAGAACTTTCCCGGGCAGCTGCTCCCAAGGAGGCAGTATCGAAGCTGCCTTTCCCTGGGGTGTCAGATTTGTGATGATGTCAGCGCTGCCCCAGTCTCCGTTCCTTGCCCGTACTGGAGCCAGTTTCTGTGAGCGCCTGGCATGCCCAGCCAGAACAATGGGCAGCCTAAGGTTTGAGCTCCTGAAAGGGGAAGCTGGGTATTCAAGAGCTTGTGCAGTTTTGTCTTCAAAGGTCTGTGTGACCGGCTGTGCAGAGACACTTTTACCTTTTCCTCCTAGTCCTGTGGCTTAGAGGAAACTGGATGACTTCATGGTGACACTTCCACTTTCCTCTTTCATAGTGTAGTATGAGGTGGGTGGTCGGTACCGGGAATCGAACTCAGGACCTTGCACTTGCCAGGCAGGTGCCTGTGCCTCTGAGTGTAGCCCCAGCCCCCAGAGTGTAGTATTCCTTAAAACAGATTAAGTAGGCTTTCCTTAGTGCTTAGTGCTCCCTGAGGAGTTTTGGCGGTACACACTTGCTACGATGCTCCTTATCTTTCTGACATCTCACGCCCCTTTGAAAAGATAGGACGTCTCTATACTCCACTTAAAACTGTCCACATACCAGTGTACATACATGTTTTGATGTAGGTTCAGGGCTCCTGAAGTCCAGGCTGAAAATAAACTGAATTCTAAAGCTAGCTAACAAGCTGGGCACGGCAGGTGGTGCACATTTCTGTAATCAGAGCACTTGGGAGGCTGAGGCAGGAAGAGCGTAACTTTGATCCCAGCCTGAGCAACTTCGCCAGACCCTGTGTGGGGATGTAGCCTAGTGCAGAGATCTTGAGTCGTGCCCTGGTACAAGAAATAATACTAAATAAAAGCTGACAGGGAGGGGAGGGTGTGGGCTGGATCCGCTGGGGTTGAGGGACTCGGAGGAAACGGGGTGAACAGCCGAGTGTGTAAAGTGGGGAAGCTGTTGTCTTCTCCTTGGCCCTGACCTCTCCTAAGTGTTTGCTCAAGAAGTTGCATCAGATGCGCGTGCGTGCACATAGCCCGCACACACTTAAAACAGCGTGGGTGGCTCCCACGCCCTGAGCGAACATCTTGTGATCATGAGAGCAGGGAGACCTCATCCGCTCCTCCCTCCGGCTGACCCGATCACCGTGTCCCTCTTCTGAGAGCTCTTCCCCGGGACGCGTCTCCCGCCGGCCCCCATGCAGCGAGGGAGGCGGCTGTCGCGGGCTCATTCCACCGGGCACTTTTCCTGGGAATTTGTAAAGATAATTCCTTGGGCTCTACTCAGAGACCAGTGCCCATTGCTTCCTTCTTGGAAGGCGGGGTAGGCCAGAGGCAAGGCCAGAGGCCTGACCAGCATGAGGGCCGGGGCTCTGCATGGGGTGAAGAAGGCAGACGGGATATTGGGCCTGGAAGAGACCCCGGCAGACCTGCCTGGCTCTGCTGGACCTCTGGAAGTCTCAGCGCGGTGTCACCGTGTTACATGAGAGAGTGAAGTCCAGACAGGGAGCTCCCTTCAACCAGAACAAGCACTCAAAAATCTGCGAAAAGACCCGGCCTTGTGCAGGAAGCTGGGCGAAGTGATTTCTGAGACGCACCGTCCGGCCCTGGCCTGGCACCAGCAGTGCACAGGCGGACGGGCCTGGCAGCTGATTCTGCTGACCCCTGAGAGGCGGTGTGCGTGCCTTACCCAAGTCGAAGGGGCGCTCGGCGATCACAGGGCAGAGCGACCGCCTTGGTTGGCTCCAGGGCGCAGGCCCAGGGGAGGCGGACGCTGTCACGCCCAGCCGGGGGAGTGCGGTCTGGGGCAGCGTGTAGCCTGTGGATGTGCTCGTACTCACTGGTTCTGTTCGAGCTGGGGGAGGAGGGGTTAGGGAGAGTTCGGGGAGTCGGGGCTCCTCCCTGGCCGGCTCGCAGCGGTTCCTTCTGCATTCCGTCTCCCCGCAGCCCCCCAGACTGGGCACTCCGCCGTCCCAGCCAGTTTCTCTTTCAACTTCCCTTCCTGGGAACTGCAGTCTCAGAAACTGGCTGCTGTCCACCTGGTTTCGGTGTGATGATTGACTTATGTGAAGGTGGGTGTCACTAAAATTCACACACCCTTCCGACAAGTACGTGCCCAGAGAGTGAGCAGGAGCAAGCTCCACCCGCGTTCGCGCGTCGGGTTCCGAGTCCAGCCGATGGCCGGGCGGTGGTTGAGAGGGGGCTTCTCTCCCGGCTCAGTACTCGGTGCGTGCCGTGCCCCGCCAGTCTTTTACCCCGCTGTGCCTCGCCTGTGACTCGGAGGTGGCGGCCCTGAGCGGAGCAGGGGCCGTTCGCTGGGCAGGTCGGCTCACTGCGCCCACAAGGCCCCCGGGCATTGAGAGCAAGCGTGGTTGGCCGTTTGCCAAAGGTCTCCGGCCCAACGAGGCTCTGTCTGCACAGCCGCGGCGTCCGGGCTCAGGACGGGGCAGCGCTGCTGGTGCCCATGGTCCCCCAGATCCGCCTCCGCGATCCGGTCCTCGGGGCTCAGCAGCGGTGTCTCGTCTCCTCCTGGCCTCCCTTCTCTTCGCGGCCCCGTTTCTGCCGGCGTCTGCGCGCTGCCTCACCCGTTTCCCTTCCTGCCCTCGCCTCAGCCTGTGCGGGTGCGCACAGGCGGGGCCCAGAGCAGCTGCCCGGTCCGTTCATCTCCCCTCCCTCTCTCGCCCGCAGCTGTCCTGACCTCGGAGCGAGTCCTCGGACCTCAGGATGGCGGACGAGCCCCGCAGCCAGCCCTTCGACTCGCCCCTGCAGCTGTTCAACAGCATAGTGAGCCAGGGGGAGCGCGTGCGGTCCCTCAAGGACAAGAAGGCGCCAAAAGTAGGTGGCTTGGGTCGCTTTCCTGTGCCCGCGGGCCTGCGTCGTCCTTACTCCCCAGTGGCGGAGTGGCTTAGTTACAGTTCTGAGTTGTCACCGTTCTGGTTCGTGCAGTCGAAAGTGCGGGTGGTTCTGAAAGCCTTTGAGAGTTTTAACATCCCTTGTGTCCCAGGAGGACTGGGCCCCAGGGCCTGTACAAGGAGCGACATGACGTTTGCTTGACCGAGACACACCCAGGGTTTGGTTTGGTTCGAACCTGAGGGACCGAATCGGGTACGGAGCCCGAGGGCCAGGGCCCTCCTGTCCCCTGCTGCTCCTGACACGCGCTCCAGCAGTCCCTTCCTGTAGCCAATCTTCAGGCCCACACCCTGCACGTCGCTAAGGACCGTGCTGCTTCCTCCCTGTCGGTTTTCAAGCTCAGGGCTTTCGCTGTGGAGACAAGGCGCTTGTGGTTTCACAGCTACTCGTGTCCCCAGCCGCGGGCGGTGGCCGGGTCGTAGGTACTGTGCTGTCGCGGCTGTGCCTGCAGCTCCCCTTGCCTGCCGGCACCGCTTCTCCCCGGGGGATGCCTGCCTCAGCTTCTGTGGGCCCGGCTGTGCTGCACGCTCGAGGTGAAGGACAGCCACACGCCTCGGGGCAGTGTTTCAGGCTGACGATTGCCTACGTGACCGTGGTCCCGTCAGACTGAACAGAGCTGGACGGTCCCCGTCACCCGCTGGCATCGCAGCCTCTGTCACCTGTCGGGTAATGCGGTACCCACGTGGTAGTGGCAGTGCTGGTGGAAGTGCTGCCCCGCGTGCTGCCGGGCGTCTAAAAGCGCAGTGCATAAACCCGAGCTCGACGAGAGAAGTCAGTGTGTCACTCGCTTATGCCTGTGTTCATTTTTGTGTGTGTTCTTTCAGCTGCTGGGCATGAGAGCCGGGCCTGGTACTCGCTAGGCACGCGCTCTGCTCCGAGCCTCGCCGCCGGCCCTGGTTTGCGTGTCTCCTGCACTAGGCTTTGTGTCGTTACTCTGGAGTTACTCCTGCTTGCTGAGAAGAGAGGGAGCTCGGCAGCAGCCGGACGCCTCAGGCTCTGCTCTTGGGAACTTCGGGGCTGAGGGCTCCGAGCTCCGCCTCTCGGAGGGCCCGTCCCTCTCTGGGTGCTTCTGCCTCTTTCCTCCCTGCAGACTTTTTCATTCAGACTTCTCTGATTCTGCCCCGTTTTGCGTTGCTTTGCTCTCCGTTCCTGCTCTCCTTGGCTTGTCTCCAGGCTGCGTCTCCTCATTTCCAGCCCTCCCACAGCCTTCGTCTTCCTGTCATTCTCACCCCCAGACCCTCGTGCTCGCTAACGTCTTTCCCTGCAGGGCTCTGCGCTGATGTCACGGTCCCACTGTGCCTCTCTGAAGGGTCCCTGTAGTGTTGCTGCCGTAGGTTTGAGGAATTTGGTCAGTCTGATCTTCGTTTTGTTTTTTGGTTTTTTTTGAGACAGGGTCTCACTGCATGGTTCAGGCTGAGCTTGAACTCACTGTGCAGGCCACGCTGGCCTCAAACTCTGGCGATCCTCTTGCCTCAGCCTCCCAAGTGCCAGGATTACAGATGTGCACCACCACTCCCAGCCTAGACTAAGTTTTTGTCTGTTTATTTTTTTATTTTTTTAACTTCTAAAAATTTATTATAATAAAGGATACATTGCCGTTAATTAATCCCCCTCCAGATATTCCCCTTTACTTTGAACACACTTATCCACAGTTCTGGCCACTTCTGATGCCATTCAGGAAATCCTCTTCTGTGAGTGCCACTAGCTGTGCTGCCATACTGGCCTGGATGTCCTGAGTCCACTCAAAGCATTTATCTTTCGTGGTGGTTTTGACTTTGGGGAAGAGCCGGGAACCTCACCGGGCCAGATTGGGTGAATAAGGGGCATGCAGACACAGTCATGGTTTTATTGGACAGAAACTGCCTTAAACAGTTGAGCAGTAAGTGTAGATCAAAAGGTACAGTGAATGCTTACATAAAAACCACGTTATAAAACGTACAAATATATATACCTATACATACATATATGTATATACGGGAAAGGACACATTGCATTAAAGCCCTTCACAATACTCTGCCGTGCCTGAACACGCTTACACCGTTGGCAGTGTCAGACAAGCTTGTTTTAAAACAGAAAGGTTGTTATGTTTTGTTTGAGATGGCGTTTCATTATGCAGTTCAACCTGGCCTTGAGCTCATCTTGTAGCCCAGACTGGCCAAGAACTCATGGCGATCCTCCTGTCTCAGCCTCCTGAGTGCTGGAATTACAGGCGTGTGCCACCACACCCATCTAAAAAAAAAAAAAAAAAAAAAAATTTTTTTTTGTCTTTTTGTGACAGGGTCTTGCTATGCAGTTCAGGCTGGCCTTGAGCTCACTTTGTAGCCCAGGCTGGTCTCAGACTTATAATGATCCTCCTGCCTCTGCCTCCCGAGTGCTAGGATTACAGGTGTGTGCCACCACACCAGGCTTAAAACAAAAATTTAAGGTGAACTGGGCATAGTGCTCCCACCTACTCAGGAGGCCAAGGCAGGAAGATTGCAAATTCAAGGCCAGACTAGATTACTGGTAAGACCCTATCTCAAAAATGTTGATGACGATACTAATGAAAGGGCGGGGGGGGTATGACCTAATGAGAAGGCTGTAGAGCACTCCGCAGTGTGACCCAGGCTGCAGCAGTCCTCCTGCCTCAGCCTCCCAGAGTGCTGGAATTACAAGTGGGTGCCACTGTGCCCAACTTGTTGATCATTTATTTATAAGCCCATTTTGGGGGACTTACTGGTGACTTTTTTTTGCGGGGGGGGGGGGTCCATTTAACATTAAATTTCAAAGAAAGGTAGTGAATGTTTTTAGTTACTAATTCATAATGCCGACAGTTCTGGTCATTAGTGTAATCAGCAAGTGCTTTTCTTTTCCCTTGAGGGCAAGCTGGGAGGCTTTATTATTATCCGCAGATCTGTGCTCTGTGTAGTGGGTGAGTGTGCCCCCAGGCTGCCTGCTTCGTCCCTGCAGGCCAGGGTGGCGGGGCACTTAGCAGATCTCCCCAGGGAGCACCTGTGTCCTCCTGCTGCCACCGCACCAACCTTGGGGGCCAACCAGGGGGCAGCGCCCTTCCCGGGATCCCAAGCAGTAAGCGCTTCTCAGAGTAACGTCTGGGTGTGTCCTCCGCTGGCGAGGTCGGAGCAGAGTGAGACGACAACAGCTGCAGAAGGCTCTCGGTGCCTGGCCTCGAAGTGTGTCTTCAGTGAAGGACGCTCCTGATGCTCTAGACAGTCACTGCTTAGGAGACCCAGGCGCTCTGCAAAGTCCTCAAGCCACCAAGCGGGCGGCACTCAAGGGCACCGCTGTGCCTGCCCAGCTGGCCGGGGCTCTGTGTCTGAGGCCATCTCTTACAATCCAGGGGTGCTGAGGGAGACAGTGGCAGGGGGTGTGCCCCGTCTGAGTAAGTCCAAAAAAGGGCTTAGCCGGGCATGGCGGTCCAGGCCTGTAATCTCAGCACTCTGGGAGGCTGAGGCAGGGGGATCATTAAGGTCAAGCCCTGTGTAGGCAATTTAGCAAGACTTTATTTGAAAATATGAAAGGGTGTGCGGGGCTGGGGATACATAGTTTAGTGCAAAGGCTCTGAGTTCTCCCAGTTCAGGGAGAAAAAGAAAAGCCTGGCTTGTGTGTAGTCAGACACGGTTCACACAGGAGTCTGGCGCCCCGGGCAGCAGCCCCGACTGGTCACTGCCCTGTGTGACCCGCACCCCACCTCGGGCCAGCACAGCAGCTCTTGGAAGCCCGCTCAGCCCCCTTGGCCCCTGCCCTGGCTCCTGCTGCCCAGAGGCTGCTGCCTGGCGCGGGCTGTGTGTGACACCACCAGGCTCTGAGCTCCTCTCGGTGTCCTGTCCGGGTGAGACTGAGGACAAGGAGACAGGCAGGGCGGGTCTGACCACCTGTTGCCGCCGCTCCGGGGTTCAGGTGGTCCCCGAGCGGGGACAGTGGTTGAGTGCTAGACCCTTGCAGAGCCTCCCAGTTGCAAGCAGAGTGGGACCAGACGAGTGTGAAATGTCAGCGCAGCTGCTGGCCGGAGGGCACTGACAGCGGGGCACTTCAGAGCCCACGCGTCTGCCCCAGGTGACTCGCAGCTCACACTTGCTGGGCATTTGCTTCCTTGCAAACCCGGAGCCCCGGTGCGGGCGTCCGCACCTGTCTCCCTGGCAGACACCTTACCTCACAGTTGCGGGCATCCACAGGTCGGCCATGCAGTCCACAGTTCAAACTCACTTTGGTGACAGATGGCAGACATTCCGGTCGTTTGAGGCGCTGACCACCCAGCATCACGACCCCCGCGGCCCAGACCCCTGCCCAATGGCACGCCTCCCTCCAGATGAGGGTGGTGCGTGGTGCTCTCCCTCGGGAAGCGCGGTTTGTCATACGCTCTGTGTGGGTCTGAGTGGAAATGTTTGCATTTCCCTGGCAGGCAGGCTGGGCTGTGCATATTCTTCTCTTGTGACCTGTGCGGCTGGACCCGTTACCGGGCCGGAGCCGCCGGCGCAGCGTGACTGGTGGGTTCGATGGGCCTGCTGGCCTACGTGCAGGCTCGGGCGGCCAGGGGGCGCCTAGGAGAGGCGCGTCTCAGATTTGCCGCATTCTGGGGATGCAGTCTGTCCTCGCTTTTCGCTAAGTAGCCATGGTGCGCGCACACGAGACAGCTTGACGAGACTCCAGAGATGCAGTGGAACACCTCCTGGCGCCTGCGTATTCCCCTGACTGTACCTGATTCCCTGACGCTGGTTTTCAGTGCCGTTCATGTCCTTGGTGGCATCGTTGTTGAGGTTTCATAAATATCATCCCGCCCTGTGTGGGACCAGAAAACAAGTCCCCGGTAGAAGTCGGAGACTCAGGTAAAAGAGCTGTCTGTCACGAGGGCTCCGCAGTGTCGGTGGTGTGGGGAAACCTGCAGGATGTTAACCTGGGCATCGCGCTGGTGGAGCCTGTGTCGCCCCGCTGTCCCGTGGTGCTCGTGGTAGTCGTGCGTGGCGCCGGAGGGAGACGTCAGAGTACAGCACGTTTGAGCCGTGGCTTCCTGCGTGTCCAAGGGCAGCAGGGCTTGGGGGCTCGGGCCAGCAGCGCAGTCCCAGCACGCCTACCTCACCGGCTGTCCCGGGGCTGGACGGGCCGGGTGTGAGCGCACTCAGCCCAGGCCGCCGCCACCAGCAGGTGCTGGGCGTCGCTCGTCTCTTACTTTCGCCTGCGTTTCTTTCTTCAGGATGAAATCGACTCCGCAGTGAAGCTGCTGCTGTCGTTAAAGATGAGCTACAAAGCCCTGGTGGGGGAGGATTACAGCCCTGAGTGCCCCCCGGGGAGCCTGGCGCCCAGGGGCAAGAGCGGCCCCGAGGACGGCGAGGACTTTGTGGACCCGTGGACGGTGCGGACGAGCAGCGCGAAGGGCATCGACTACGACAAGCTCATAGGTAGCCGCCGCCTCCCCGGGACAGCCTCGGCTTCAGGGGCAGCGCCCTCGAGTGGACTCCGTGTGTGTGTGTGTGTGTGCAAGGTTCTTTTCACACATGTAAAATGCATTTGCAGTTGGCGTGCAGGGTTTTCCTTGGCGAGACACAGCGTGGTCCCCTCCCGTAGTTGTGCACCTTGTGCGGTGCCCGGTCAGGGTGCTCGTGTGTTCGTCACCTCCGACCGTCTCATTTCTCTGTGATGACAGCATTCCGAGTCCTTCTCCTAGCTGTTTGAAATGCACGGTACATAACGGGTACCCGTGTCCGCCACGCCGTAACAGCACCCATACGCGGTCCTTCCTTCCCACTGGACCCCAGCTTCGTTCTCCTTCCCCCTTGCCAGCCTCTGCCCACACGGTTCTGGCCCCATCCCACGCGATGGCTTCTTCACAGTCACCTGTGATGCAGAAGACCTAAAGAGATCTGAGCCATTAAGATTGTTCAGGGAGAGCCGGGATGGTGGCACACACCTGTGATCCCAGCACTTGGGAGGCTGAGGCAGGAGGATTGTCAGGGCTCGAAGCCAGCCTGGGCCACAAAGTAAGTTCAAGGCCAGCCTGAGCTACATAGTGAGACCTTGTCTCAAAAAAACCAATAACAGTAATAAGAAGAATATGTCCAGGGAGCACGAGTCTTTCCCTCTGTGCGGTGGTATCTGTCACCAGCACTGCCACCTTCTGAGAAGGTCACCTCTTCTGTTTTCCACCTTCTTTTCCAGTTCAGTTCGGAAGCAGTAAAATTGACAAGGAGCTGATAAACCGGATCGAGAGAGCGACCAACCAGAGACCGCACCGCTTCCTGCGCAGAGGCATCTTCTTCTCACACAGGTCGGCCCTGCTCTGCGCCTCGGAATCACGAGGCCGGCGCTCCTCTTCCGCGTGCTGCACCCAGGCAGGGTGGGACCCAGCCCCGGGAAGACCGGGCCACCTCCTGTGCTGCCAGGAGCTCACGAGGTCGCGCTGGTGCCCTCACTCCCAGGCCCGTCCGCTTGTGTATTCTTTTGCACACTGCCCACCTCACAAGGTGGAGGTCAGGGTCATAGCAGATGAGCTTCAGGCCAGGTCACACCGTGTAAATTATAAAAGGTTGCGAAAACAAAAGAAACCGAAGGCCAAGCTGAATGTTTCCCACGCCTAAGCAGCAGGCTTCCTGAAATTATGTGCTGCCTTCCTCCTATTGTACTGGCCCCCTGGTAAACTAGCGAAAGAGAAACGAACCTAAGGGCACAGGGAGCAGAGTATTCCCGCCTCAGACCATGAATTCCGTGCTGATCACATCAAGAAATGGGCAGGTTCCAAACGGCCTGCTGCTTCTCCCACCCCGGAGACGGCTGGTGTCGGCAGGCCTGCCTCCGGGCTGTGGGTGCAGTCTGTGGTCTGATCTCAGATCCTTCTGCCCTGCTTACCCTCGGCGGTCTCGGCAGTGCCTCCAGGACAGAACTCCACGTTCTTCCTGACCGCTGTACATTCAACCAGCGGACAGAGCCGGGCCCTGTCAGCCCACTTAGTCTTTTCTTTGAGATTTATTTCATGGAAACCTCACCTTTTTAAATGTGTACAACTCATTGGCTCTTAGTGTATTCACAAAGACGTTCAACTTTGACAGCTTGCTAATTCCAGAGCCCGAAAAGAAACGCCGTCGCCTTAGTCACCCCCTTTTCTGCCTCCGCCAGCACTGGCGGCAGCCACTGTGCTGTGGGTCTGCCTGCCCAGGGGTCTGCTGGGAGGGACTCAGTGTGGCCTGTGCGCCAGCTTCCGGCGTCCTCTGCTTTGTGTGTTCAAGGCTCCTGCGTGTTGTAGTGAACGTTGGTGCAGGCACTCCTCATCTAACTGGGGTTTTCCCGATGAGTCTACTTTATTTCACATTAAGTTTTAAGTTTTCTTTTTCTTTTTTCGGTACCGGGAATTAAACTCAGGACCTTGTGCTTGCCAGGCAGGCACTTATGCCACTAAACTGTATCCCGGGCCCTAAGTTTTAAGTTTTCTGAGGGTGCTTGAGTAAGCTCAGAACACACCTTGGCCTGCAGATGGCCAGCATTATAAAAATAGGAGAGAGAAACGCAAGGACAGGCTTCATTTGAGACGAAGACCTGAGGGGCCGCTGGCCCCGAGGTACCAGAAGCAGCTCTGTCTTCCAGGGGAGGGTTGGCAGGTGTGACAGGGCATGTGGCGGTGCGGGGCCCACTCGGCTCAGGACCAGGTCTCTGCGTCTTCAAGGGTCACAGCCCATCTCAGGCTTGCACAGGGTTTCCTGTTGCAGAGGCTGAACAGCTCTGGCCAGGAGTGTATTGTACGGGAGGCAGACTTCATGGGCTTCATAATTACGAGGCTCAGAAGAATGCAGGTCGCCACTGGGGAGAAGGCCTCAGTGGTCCGGGAGCACACCAGCAGCCAGCGAGCCGGTTTAGGCCCGCAGGTCGGTGAGTTCATAGAGAGCGGGTGGAGACATGGGGAAGGGGCGGGGACTTGGGTCAGGCAAGGCCGACACAGGGCTGTCGGGGTGGAGTTCTGGGCAGGGGCAGGTCCCTTTGTGCCCCAGGGCGTGAACTACGCTTGGTCTTGGTCTGTGTTGTGGCCGGGGTTTTACTAGAGAAAAGATTAAATACAGGACACATAAATTATAGGCTTATTTTGTAATATTCACCCAAAGAGTCACATGCAAAAGAGTGCAGGAGATCTGTCCACACACTCGAGAGCGAGAGAATCCAGCTGAGGGCCTGGGTCCGGCAGTGTCCTGCAGGAGTCCAGCTGGCGGCCTGGAGCCCATGGCAATGTCTCCTGCAAGTCTGTTTCAAGGATCTGAACTGGGAAGGCCCAAGGCAAAGCTAAGTGGTGGAAGTTAGAAAGTCTGCACCAGCGGGATAAAGGACCTGTGCCAGCAGGCTGAGGGAGCTGTGCTGGAGCCAGGAAGGTCAAAGTAAGGACCAGAGGCACCCAAAAAGAACCGCAGCCATCCTCAGCGACAGCAAGGTCTGGAGCCCCTCTGACAGTGAGAACAGCTGAGTTCGTGTGTGACAAGCTTTCCCAGGAGAATCAACAGAGCACCATCTTCCCCTCCAGTTCTCCATTTATGCTCTAGACAGCAGTCCTCAGATGGGCCCTCCACACCCAGCACGCTGATTCAGTTCAGCTGGGTGTCACAACTTGCCCATTAGTTACTCCCCCACAGTCAGAAGCTGAGGTTGGCCCTGTGGGCAGCCACTGGGCAGAGAAGGCTGGGCTGATGTACTTGGGCTGGCCAGGCGTCAGCAGCAGGCACTGTATTTCTTGACCTTTGTTGGGAAGGGCGCTCACTGAACAGATAACGTGCGGGCTGGATGAACAGAAAGCAGAAGCAGGCGATGAAGCATCTGGGCTGGTTGGAGTGAACTCAGCAAAGGTGTCCTGGAGCCAGAAGTCCCTGGATGTTTCGGGGAGCAAAGCTGAGGCTGGGAGAAAGAATGTTTGTTCGACACGAAGGACCAGCAGCTGTCCGAGAACCTGTAGGGCAAGGCCAGGCAGCCTGGCTCCCGGTGGAGGCCGCAAATCAAGCAGGGGGGCAGGCACAGTGAGGGCTGTGTGCTGCGGGAGGCCTCGGGCAGCCTAAGTGACGGCCGCTGCGAGCAGTTGTTCAGGGGGTGAGACAGCTGGGGAGACGGGGCCCCCAGGAAAGGGGCAGCAGCATCTTGGCTCGGTGTCGGGGTGCGGGGGGCCAGGATGATGGGTGCAAGGGCTGCGGTCTAGAAGGGAGCGAGGAAGAGGCGGGACCCGCGCTGGGTGAGTCCTGTCCGCTGCGAGGTGGTCTGGGGAGCCTTGCGGTGCTGGCTTCGTGTCCAGATAGGGCACCTGGTGCCTGAGGGGGCCTGGGACGAGCTTCTACCTGCAAACCAGGTGCTGGCTGCCCACGCATGGACTTCCACGTACACTGGGGAAGTGGCCAAGGTCTTGGCGAGTGGGTCGGGTCAAAGGCTGTTGGGGATGACGCCTTGATCAACGGGGGACCTGGGGGCGTTCTGAAGGGGTCTGGCTAGGGGCTGAGGCTGGGAGCCCCGGGGCAGGGTGGGGAGTGAGAGGTGTCTGCACGGCTGTCGTGGGAGAGCGGGGGAGAGCGGGCGAGATTGAGACGCCTCAGTGCGGAGCTCGTTAGTGCTGAGAGGTGCGGCCGCCTGGCTGAGCGAGCGGGTGTCCAAAGTCTGCGGCAAGGGCTGTGGGGAGCCAGTGCCCCAGCCTGAGGCAGGGTCTGCCTAGGTGAAGGCGGGAAGGTCCTGGGGATCCGGATGGAGGGGAGGCGCGGGGCAGCGGAAGGAGAAGGGCGAGCGTGCGGAGAGGAAGGAGGACCTCAAAGACGCCACTGCCCAGAGCTTGAGAAGCGCCATCCAAGCGGAGCGGGTACTGGGGAACCGCCAGTGAGCAACTGGAGGCCGCGGCGCGCGGCTGAGGAGCTGGCGGCGGCCCCGCCGTGCTGAGGCCGACCTGCAGGTCTCCAGGTTATTAGCAAGGGGGAGTGTGCGGCCCGCGTGAACTCCGGCAGACTCACCCCAGCTGTCACCCTGGCTCTTGCGTGCAGAGGGGCTGGGCCGGGTCCCGTCAGGCCAGCTGGGCGGGGCAGGGTGAATGATCAGTGCCCCCAGGCCACCCCAGGCCTGGGTTTTGTGGGGGTGTGGAGTTGAGCATCGCTTTGCCCAGTGCCCCACCTGCCGCATCGAAAGCACGGCCCGGGGCTTCAGGCTTTCGCGTGGTGTCGACCTGGCCGGTGCTGAGGTGAGGAGCCGAGAGCAGAGTGACTGGAGACCTCTGTCGGGTTCCCAGGTCGCTGGCCCTCCCGTCAGACATGTAGCCTGTTTTAAAGTGGGGAGGGCCTCAGTGTTGACGATTGCGCTGCAAGTCCGGACCCAGTGGTTTGGGTGCACTCCTGTGCTGTGGGTGAGGCTCTTGTGCGCGTCACTGTTCTTTTCCACGGCAAATGACGTCCCACGGAGTGTCCCCGCATCCGTGTGCCCGTTCCCTGGCTCCGCCGTGCTGCTGCGGACGTTCAGCGCGCTCTGCGGGTTTGCTGCAGACCTGGGCCTCCAGCGCCAAGCGCACGCCTGGAGCGCAGGGGGCGGCTCGCACAGGTCTGCGCCTGACTGCGGGACTGACAGGCTGCTCTCGTGGTAACGGATCACTCCACGCCCAGCGGTGTCCGGAGCCCAGCTGCTCCCAGTCTTGTTTTCTAGCCGTGCTAGTGCAGGTTAAGCAGAGCCCCACCGTGGCTGGGTGTATGTCCTTGGTGCCCAGGGGTGGTAATCGGCCTTTCGTGTGCTTATTGCCTGTTTTTCGTATCTTTGGAGAGCTGATGAGGTCCTTTGCCCGTTTTGTTTGTGGGGGGTGTACCAGGAATCGAACTTAGGACCTTGTACTTGCCAGGCAGGTGCTTGTACCACTGACCTATATCTCTGGCCCTTTTGTCCACTTTTTAATTGGGTTATTTTAATTTTTAAAAATAGTAGTTCTTTATTTTGTATACTGGTTTTTTTTACCGGTATACGACTTGCAAATATTTGCTCCTATTATTTAGCGTTTTTTTTTTCTACTTTATTGATAGCATGTTTGAGTACAGAAGTTTTTTTTGTTTTTTTGGTTTTTTCTTTGAGACAGGGTCTCGCTATGCAGTTTAGGCTGGCCTTGAGCTCACTTTGTAGCCCAGGCTGGCCTCGAACTCAGTGATCCTCCTGCCTCAGCCTCCCAAGTGCTGGGATTACGGGCATGCGCCACGACCCCGGCTACAAAAGTCTTAATGTTGTTTGTTGGGGTTTTTTTGGTTGCTTGTTCTTTTGGTATCTCAGAAACTATTGCCTAAGACAAGATCATAAAGATTTGTACCTGTGTTTTCTCCTAAGGGTTTTATGGTTCTAGCTCTTATGTTTAGATGGCTGGTATTTTTGAGTTAGTTTTTGTGTATGCGTGAGGTAGGACTCCAACTTTTTTCTTTCTTTTTTTTGTTTTTTTTTGTTTGTTTTGTTATAGTGGGGTTTTTTTGCATGTGGCTGTCCAGTTGTCCCAGCACCATGTTTGAGAAGACTGTCCTTCTCTACCGAATCTTCTTGACATCTTACTGAAGGTGAATTAACGTATGTGGAGGTTTCATTCCAGACACTCAGTCTGTTCCACTCCTCTGTGTCTATCTTCGTGGCTGCACCACCCAGCTCTGATTATTACAGCTTTGACGTAAATTCCAAGTTAGAAAACCAGAGGCCTCCAGCGCTGGTTTTTATCACGACTGTTTGCTCTCCCCGGCGCTTGGCATTTTTTTTATCTTTTACATTTTCCCTCCCCGCGTCTGCAGTACACAATGGTAACACCCGCCTCCCGGCATCCGGGCCGGACGGAACACGCTCGCTCTGCTTCCCTCGCCGGCTCTGGGCCCTTTGCGTTGCTCTGTGAGTTTTGGGGTCAGCTATTTTATTTCTGAAAATAAGGCAGCTGGGATTTTGATGGAGATGGTACCCAGTCTCTAGACTAGTTTGGAGAAGTGTCTGTCTGAAAGTACTATACCTTCAGTCCGTGGACATGGGATGTCTGTCCACTTACACCTTCCAGTGATAGTTTATACTCCCCAGTGGACATGCTTTATACTTCTTTAGTTAGATAATTCCTAAGGATTTGATTTTATTCATTCCATTGTAAATGGCATTTTTTAAGTTCCACTTTGAAAGTACTCACTGCTGCTGTGATTTGTGTGTGTTGATTTTTTTTTTTTTTTTTTTTTTTTTTTTT